TGCCCACGGGGTGGGAGGGCGAGGAGGGGACAAAGTAAAGGGGCCGACGGGGAGAGAATGTGGACGGGTGGCTGGGATGATGTCGGTGGGTGTTGGAATGGGTGCGGAGGGGGGGGAGGGAGAGTCGTCGGTGGCCTTCAGTGTAGATGTTGGTGTTGTTGTTGATGGTGGCTCCCCTGCCCCTCTGCTCGTGCTGCTGCTAGCGCTGTGCATGTAGCTTGCTTGACTTGCTTCCGTGCCCCGACTGCTTCTGGCGGTACCCCTTCTGCTGCCCCCTAATGCCGGCACCGCCTGCTGGCCCCTGCTGCCCCCTAATGCCGGCACCGCCTGCTGGCCCCTGCTGCCCCTTAATGCCGGCACCGCCTGCTGGCCCCTGCTGCCCCTTAATGCCGGCACCGCCTGCTGGCCCCTGCTGCCCCTTAATGCCGGCACCGCCTGCTGGCCCCTGCTGCCCCTTAATGCCGGCACCGCCTGCTGGCCCCTGCTGCCCCTTAATGCCGGCACCGCCTGGCTGGCCCCTGCTGCCCCTTAATGCCGGCACCGCCTGCTGGCCCCTGCTGCCCCTTAATGCCGGCACCGCCTGCTGGCCCCTGCTGCCCCTTAATGCCGGCACCGCCTGCTGGCCCCTGCTGCCCCTTAATGCCGGCACCGCCTGCTGGCCCCTGCTGCCCCTTAATGCCGGCACCGCCTGCTGGCCCCTGCTGCCCCTTAATGCCGGCACCGCCTGCTGGCCCCTGCTGCCCCTTAATGCCGGCACCGCCTGCTGGCCCCTGCTGCCCCTTAATGCCGGCACTGCCTGCTGGCCCCTGCTGCCCCTTAATGCCGGCACCGCCTGCTGGCCCCTGCTGCCCCTTAATGCCGGCACCGCCTGCTGGCCCCTGCTGCCCCTTAATGCCGGCACCGCCTGCTGGCCCCTGCTGCCCCTTAATGCCGGCACCGCCTGCTGGCCCCTGCTGCCCCCTGATGCCGGCACTGCCTGCTGGCCCCTGCTGCCCCTTAATGCCGGCACCGCCTGCTGGCCCCTGCTGCCCCTTAATGCCGGCACCGCCTGCTGGCCCCTGCTGCCCCTTAATGCCGGCACCGCCTTCTGGCGCCTGCTGCCCCTTAATGCCGGCACCGCCTTCTGGCGCCTGCTGCCCCCTAATGCCGGCACCGCCTCCAGAATCATCCCTCCCCGTCCCGGCATCCAGTAAGTAGACCAGCACTCACCCAGGGCCTCATCGTACAAATTGAGCTCTCGCAATTTGAGTACCGTGAAATTGGGAAAGCCGGTGAGTGCTAGGGCCAGGCAGCGTCCCACCACCTCATCGACGTCGAGCTGTTGTACCACCAGTGCCGGCGCCCCTAACCTCGCCGCCTCCGCCATGGCGGCCTGCAGCAGGGGTTTGAGCTGCTGGTGGGGGTACCGCACCTCGCAGCTTTGAAGGGCGCCCCAGGATAGCTCCAGGGCTTTCCAGCCTGGGGGAGTTACAGAAAGGCAAGTATTGTGACAGCTGCTTACAAGTTGAGGTCTATTATGAGGTCGAGGTTAAGTGTCGGCATGTTACGCCGTGGTCAACTTGTGTGGGCCAGCGGGCGTCATTAGCTCATGGTCCGTTGTCGGTGTCGGACTCGAACAAACCGTGGTTAGGCAACGACAACGACCAGGGACGTACCTGTTGTGCAACTGATCCAATCCCGCAGCTGCTCCTCTGATATGCCCACCACGACTTGTCGGCCCTGAAGTATTCCCGCAGCACGTTTCCACGTGTCGACCATCGATATCGATCATGATTTCGTATGACGAATGGATGAGGTTTGCCGTGGGCATCATTAATGTTTCGATACTAACCGATCCATAAGAGTCCGGCTCCGCCGGTGGTGCAGCACTCCACCAGATTGTACCCTGGCGAGGGGGTTCGGGTATAGACATGGTCGCCATACCAGCGTCACCTTGCAGTGAACATCAAAGTAAGCAGCACAGCTATATGTATATTATATAGGTAGCTATGTAATAGTAGTTTTTAGCAGGAAGTCCTCAATCGCAAGGCGTGGACGATTTGATAGTCTAAATTTAACAGCATTGTCACAGAAGCTATCCTGGTATTTGCAGAGTTCCCGTTTAAGACTTGAAGACGTTTTACTCAAGAAATCTTTGTTAACCCTGCTTCGCTTGTAACGGAGACCCTGTCCAGCTCCGGAACATCGATGGACGAGCATGACTGCTGCGCGCTGATCCGACATGATTAGATCCCTTAACATTTTACACATATATGACTGCTGAGCGCTGCATATTGTGTGATAGATGGACCTTTTGTTCAAATGTCGGACGTCTATTCACATCCCGCGAGACGGCAGTTTGAGCCTAGGGCGTCGAAAGCCAGTTTTGGGTTGGGATAATGTTTTGATTAGCAGAAACCATGTCCAGCTCAAAATTAAGCACGATGAGGCAGTACTGGATCTATCTGTGACAGGGCGAAACGCTGTTGTCGTAGAACGTCAAGAGAATGGTGAGTATGAGTACTTTGCATACGTCCAGCCCACCTCGACATAAACAAAATTTCATCACACCAAGCGACATAACACCAACCAACAAGCGCTACGTGCCCTAGCTACGAGCGGACATGGCACCAGCCAAAGTCTTTTCCCCTTTCAGGCATGCCGCTTGCGATTCACCCTTTCATTTGTAAGCTATCGCAGAAGGCAGCAACTGGGACGTAGTCGCCGTAATTGACCCGGGGACCTCCTCCGTCCTGCCGCTGGAAAGCATCTCAGGTAAAGCTCATTCAGATGCCCATCCGAGTCAGTCAGCAAACAAAAACCATTTCGCCCCCACTGATCCGTATGCACGCCCGCGTCAGCACCTCGCAGCAACCGACATCAGTAACCGTCTGCTGTACTACAACAAGCGCCAGAACGCCCCAGAACGCCCCAGATTAGTGAACTTCCGCCCTAACGCCCTACATCTCTTCCCTCGGGACTCTCTCCTCGTCTCCTCCTCCCTTCCGCCTCTCTCTCGAAAGGTAACCACGCGACACGTTTCTTCATTCTAGGCGCCCGAGAAGACTCCGTTGTGGAGCTAAGACCGCATACCGCCGCAGCCGCGGCCGCCCCTGCCGCCGCCGACACCGCGGCGTCACAGCCTCCGCCGCAGCAGGACCAGCGGTCGTTGGACCTCGATACGGTGACATCAACATCAATGGACGGTTCACGAAGAGGAGGAAAGCGGCAACGCACAAGCGCATCGCCCTTACCAGCGCCCCCACCCCGTATCGCTTATACCGCCTCGGCTTCTGCTCCTGTTGCGGGGACCGCCTCGCCTGCAGGCGCCACTGCCGCTGCCACTGCCGCTGCCACTGGCAAAAGTAGGGACGCCAGCGCCTCGACCCCGGCGACAGCAGCAGTGACGGCGACAACAGCAACGGCGGCGGTGGCAGCAGCAGAGGCCACTGCTCCGAACACGGTGGTGATCTCGGACGCAACCGCAGCGCCGGCAGCGGCCACAAGTGTCCCTTCGCGACAGCAGCTCACCCGGCAGGGACCTCGTCCGACAGCCCCGCCACATGACGGCGCTCCGTACGACATCGATAGTCCCGTACACCTGCTGCGGGTTAGGTACGGCAGCGGCGGCTGCGCCTCAGTGGTTCGCCAGCTTTTTCCTGGGGCCGCGTGGCGCTATAGTCTTGTCCGCACAGGCAACCGTCCCATCAACCCATCAGATCTGAGCCACTGCAGCTGTAAACCGCGTTTCTTCTCCCCACCTCCCCGACAACGTACCCAGGGACTACTCATATGACCTCAACCCAAAGCGTGAAGCGTAAAGGTACTTTGCTTAAACAGCGTATTTCGTTGTGTTTACATGACCCAGGAAATGCAAGCGGAAAGCAGACTCGGATCATGAGTTCTCCAGGAACAGCCAAGCCCCCCCAACCTTTTCAAACCCGAATAATCTTGACACGTTATCCATTAACCAATCCGTTAACCAATCCGTTAACCAATCCGTTATCCCCCCCCAGGGGTCTATCTCCCCGCTACAACACCGGCTGCCTGGGTGTCGACCTGCGACACGTCGTGAGCGGTCCACTGCAACTCGCTCTTGTGTCCAACTACATGATCGACATGGGCTGGCTCCTGTCGTGCTGCCCGGACCTGGCTAAAGCACGACAGGTACGAATGTACGGATGCCGTACGGTACGGCATTTCATGGTACCTTGTGTATGCTACATTAATATGATCGGGTTTGGGATGGATGTATTGTTCGAGTCGAATGAAATAATTGGTTTGTCCTGTTTATTTTAGCGATTCCTAACCCACCGACTTCGCTTCATTCGCCTGGTACTTGAGACACACATACACACATACACACACACCATAACCCACACCCCAAACCCCAAACCCCCCTTGCAGTTTTTCGTCGTGCATGGGGAGGGCCCGGATGCGGAGCCCGAGATGCGACAACAGGCCGCTGAAGCGGGTGCGGCGCATGTACGACTGCACCGGCCGCCGCTGCCTATCATGTACGGCACACACCACTCCAAGGCCTTCCTCCTAGCCTACTCTACGGGTCTCCGCCTCATCATCCACACGGCCAACTGCGTCTACCCGGACTGCAACGACAAGACACAAGGGCTGTGGGTGCAGGACTTTCCACGGAAGGATACGGTGGCTGCGGCCGCACCGGTGTCGACTTTCGAACAGGACCTGGTCGCGTACTTCCGCGCACTGGCGCTGCCGCCGGCGATGGCTAATCCCCTGTTCGAGGCCATCGCAATGCATGATTTTTCTTTTGCGCGCGGCACACTAGTGGCGAGCGTGCCGGGATACCATCGCGGCACAGCAGCCGTACAGTCGTACGGTCACATGCGGTTGCGCCGGCTGTTGGAGCAGGTGCCGCTGCCAAGTTGTTTTGCTGCGGAGGGCAGCAGCTGCGGTACGGCATCGTCATCGTCTGCCGTACCGCCTGAGGGCCTTATCATTCAATGCTCGTCCATGGGGTCGTTTGACCAGGCGTGGCTGGTGGACGAGATGGGAGCTTCGTTGGCGGCCTGTCGACGGCAGCCGCCGCCGCCGCCGCCGCCACCGCGGCCGCTGGCGGCGGCGCCGCCGCCGCGACCGTCCGGGCCGCCAGGCTGTGGTCCGCTACCGCTGGCAGTTGTATGGCCCACGGTAGAGGAGGTACGGAACAGCATTGAGGGCTGGAACGCGGGCCGCAGCATCCCAGGTCCTAGTCGCAACGTCTCCAAGCCCTTCATGGGCAGGTACTATGCACGATGGGGCGGCGAGGCGGTAGGCCGGCAGCGGGCCATGCCCCACATCAAGACCTATACGCGGTGAGTGAGAGCACGGTCGCATATCTTGATGCTGCGTTTGTGTTTTTGCGTTGGGCAACGGGCAGTGGGACAGTTAGCTGACCAGGGCTCAGCAAGTCGAATAAAGCAGTTAGCTGGTATTCGCCTTGCTCAAGTAAAGCAGTTCATTGATTTGTAATAGAAGTTGGTAGTTTTCGGATAGAAGTTGGTAGTTGGTAGTTAAAATTCGCCCAGCTGCAACCCGGTTTCCGAAAAAAAACCCGCGCACGCACACACGCGGGATTGATCCCCGGACGTGTCTGCATTCACTAAAAGTGGTGCATCACTTGGCAGGTACCGGGGCCAACAACTGGCCTGGTTCCTGGTAACCAGCCACAACCTGAGCAAGGCGGCCTGGGGTGAACTCCAGAAGAACGGCTCACAGCTCATGGTGGGTCGGTGGTATTGCTGGGTCGGTGGGATGGTGGTATTACTGGGTCGGTGGGATGGTGGTATTGCTGGGTCGGTGGGATGGTGGTATTGCTGGGTCGGTGGGTCGGTGGTATTACTGGGTCGGTGGGTCGGTGGTATTACTGGGTCGGTGGGTCGGTGGTATTACTGGGTCGGTGGGATGGTGGTATTACTGGGTCGGTGGGTCGGTGGATCCGCGGCTTCCGATGAGCGGGTAGTAGGCTTATTGCCTGCGGCAGGAAACGTCGAGAAGCCAGCGGATGATGGGCCGGATTTGAAAAATGGATTTTTTGTTGGGTGTTGATGGGGAGATGTTCGCTCCAGGTTCTAGCCCTGCTCTGTCCCGTACTTTGGAACCCACGATGCGCTCACCGTATGTACGATGTCCGCAGATTCGGTCGTACGAGTTGGGCGTGCTGGTGACGCCGGCGCTGGAGGCGGCGTACAGGTGCGGCGGCAGGTGACTGGCTAGTGGCAATCGTTTCATTCGGCTGTGGAGTGCCGTCTCTTGTGTTTCTTACATGTTTGTGTTTCCTCGCCCTCACTGCCAGTGCCACTGCCAGTGTCACCGCCGCCCTCACTGCCACTGCCACTGCCACCGCCCCGTCACAGGTCGTCGCCACAGGTTGGCTTCTGCTGCCACCACAACTCTGACGGTCAACATCGACATCATCAAGAACAACAACAGCATCAGCAAGAGCAACAGCAACAGCATTCTCCCCGTGGACGGCAGCAACAGCAGCAGCCCAAGCGGCATTCTGCCGCTAGTGGTAGCACTGGTGAAGGCATTGGCGGCGGTGACGGTGGAGCAGCCTGTCAGCGACTTCGTGGACCAGTTTCATTCTGGTGCCTAGCTGGCGCTCAAGCAGCAGCCGGATCCACAGGAGCTGGACCTAGCAGAGCCGCCCATGGCGGTGGATCTGCCTGCGATGGCGGCGGTGACACCAGTGCAGACGTGCCGTGCTTTTTCCCTGTGCCGTACTCTTTACCGCCGCAGCCGTACCGTGTCGGCGAGGACAAGCCCTGGGTGGTTGACGTGCCGCAGCCGGGTATTGATGCCCTCGGGTTACCGTGGGGAGCGCCGTACAGTCATTACGGGCACACACAGCAGCAGGAGGGAGGCTGAGATGAGGGCAGAAGATGCTGGCATACAAGGTTACAAGCTACAAGTTCCGCACACAAGTGCGGGTGTGTCCGTAAAAGCCGGGGGGGCCATGGACGTTGTATTGGTATTGATGCGGGTACGCGGGAGGTCATCTTCATTCTCCCTCGTCCGCTTCAGGGCGAAGGGCCTCAGCGCGACGTGCCTGGCCTCCCAAATTTCCGAGAGGTACCTGGCCAATGCCAGGGGTGGCGCCTCAGTCATAGTGGTGCGCATGCTGCGCCCCGTAAGGACTAGGTCACCATCATACTTAGCCCGTATGCTCTTGTAAGCGGGACATAATACATCTGATGCAATCGTGCGCACTTTGACGCAGTTGCCCACACTTGAAGCTCATGTGGATGTTTGCCCTGGCGATGGTACCAAGTGCTGATGCATCAGCAATCTGTCAGGTGTATGACACGGAGCTTAAATCCAGCTCCAGTTCCAGCTCCAGCTATGCTAGGAAAACTTCCGAGGGAAGCAGCTACGAAATGGTTCGATTAGTCTTTCAACCCTATACCAAAGCCTGGAAAGCGAATTTGCACGTCACCGCATCTACCAGCGGCCGCCAGGAGAGGTTACTCTGACCTGACCTGGGACGTGTTCCGTGCGGCTATATAGCAGAGAAGGAAAGGGGCGCATCCCGTGGGGGTGACCGCACGCCTTCTTACACACTCACATGCACGAGCATACGTCGTTAATGCGGTTCTCCGGTTCTTGGGGCTCAGGAATGGAGCTGCAAGCCAAGTCAATCAGTATGTAAGACAGACAGACAGAAAGACAGACAGATAGCAGACTGGCTGTTGGACGGAGGCGGAGATCGTATTCAGCACACGGTTCATGCGCACGTGTATGCGTGCCTGTGTGTGGTAACATGCACATTGTGTACGGCTAACACATATACCTGTATGAACTCATGCGTATTGGAGCGCTGGGCGGCATTCGGATCTGAGTCAGAGTAAAGAGACAATCGTCAGTAAAGAGCCAGTTCAATTGGGCAGCTAGGTGGGTAGGTAGGTAGGTAGTTGAGGTGCTGTTGACCAGGTCCATGAGACAGACCCGTCTCACGAAAAAGGGGCCACTGGAGGGGTCTGCGTGAAGTCTGGAACGTCCCGCTACATTCGCAGTTGATCTGACGCTGTTACTCCGTCCACTTCAATATATTTCTACATAAAGTTCCACTCCATAAAGACAAGAAATAGATTACTTGGAGCGCAGTGAATACAAATACCATTTGTGATACAAAAAAGCTTAGTACATGAAAGCGCCCCGCGTGGAAGCATGAAAACACAAAAAAATATTCCCCATAATAGAAAGTCGGAGCGATAATTTTGCGATCAGAAGAATGTGCCTCGTGCACGCCTATTAAGTAATCGAGCAATATGCGTGTAAAGCTGGACCTACTATTGATGTGTCCGCACGCCTTGCTTATTATCGTTATCGTTAAATGTTCCCCGCTAGCGAATCGACAAACGCATCGACGACTTGAGTACCCTGGCAGCCGTCGCTCTGGAGGGTGATGGGCCTCCGATGATCCGTTTGTTTGTGCATGTGTTTATGCTGCTGACCCTGGGTTCGCGGCACCTAACACCGCATCTGTTGCGGTTCGTAGCTGCATGAACGAAAGCATTCCTCCACCAAATGTCCCAGCGGTCGCACCAAGTAAAGTTTTAAGAGTTGTATGTGCCTGTGCCTGTGCCTGTCCTCTCCTTTGCTTGGGAATTTTATCATTAGTCACGACCGATATCTGGATGCCAGACCAATCTGTCAATGCAAGTTCGCGTAAAAAACTTTTAAGCAGTGTATTGCAAGGCAAAAAAATTCGGCTTTACTTTGGATGGATTCTTGGAGTCCGCAACCATGGATACACGGTAGCCCCATAAATGCTGTCGTTATCGAGCGAGCCGCCGCGGGGAAGTACATTACCTGAAACAGCAGCGCTTATTGGATTTCGGAGAACTGGAGACATAAGGTAATCAGCATATACTTGCATCGAGTAAGAACCGGTGTGTGTGACATGCCCGCGCGATGCGCTCTATCGAACTGCCTTCGCAAAATCTTCGTTGTCAGTAAATTGTCAGCCTACAAGCTGGGACCTACCTTCACAGTGACGTTCCTATAGTTCCAACCTTTGCATTCATGAATCAAAAGTACATGTATAATGCAGCGCTGCTTCCGTGCTGAGTCAACCTGCAGCTACGTGAAGTAGTGACAGGAGTACCCAACGCTGCGCTGAGAGCATCTATCAGGTCGCATTCTAAAATGAGATAGTAGTACGATGCTCTTAGGACGCCTGCCAGAACGTGGCAGAAGGTCATCTTACGAAAGTAGGCTCTCTACGATTTGCGGGATGGATGATTGAATTAAGTGATACACGTAATTCCATTAAAAATCTTAATGTCACAGGGCCTCATGCAGTAGTTGCTACAGCATAGACATTTTGATCGTAAATTGGCCTGACGAAGCCCTAAAAATGTCATATACAACTCGCGGTCCATGAGCCTCCTGGCTCGTCTGGGCCTTACGAGCCCTCGCGAGCTTGTAACATAACATAACATAACATAGCACATATCCGTCAATCCATGTCATAAGCTACAATATAACATGAACTTCACAGCTTACATGACATGGCGTGTCTTTCACGTTCGCCATACTGGCTGGAAATAATGTCATGCAACAATCCGGATCAGGAAATATCTTTAGATGAGAAAGAAAATTTGCTTTATGCATTCAAGGTTATTGCGTGGAAGAAACCAACGGAAAAATTCCGTCACGGCAAAATACGGAAACGGAAAAAACGAATGTTAGTCCAGACGACGGCTCAGTCTGACTCGTGGATTCCATTTATGGATAGCACTAGGACTACAAAGTAGGTACTGGTTAATTCCGCTCAGAGAGTATATGACATGCCCACCACAGCCACGCCCGCCACAAGTAGGTCATGAGAAATCCTATTCTTCCAGACTATAGCTAGATCTAAGCAGGATGACTCCGTTACACTGCCTGCTTGCAACCGCATGTATTGCAGGTCTTTGCTGCGCTGTCAGCGCCCCTTCCTGGTAACAGCGAACTGTCTCTGCTCCCACTCGATCCTCTTCCATAGTCGTCATCTATATTTATATATATATTCAAATTCATAAAATGCTTTAATACAATCGAAGGGTAGTAGCGATGGATAGTGGGTGGCATCATTAGCCGTCTAGGACTAGAGACAGATTCAGAAGCTACGTTCAAGTTCTGCGTGGCAAGGAACTATGAGCTACGTCCTGAGATAAGACTTTTGCGACCGGTCCGGTTTCGTGTGAGCGGGAATGGCGCTGCAATTTCTCTACATTCTGGCGCTTACAGCGCTTTGGTACCGCTTGACAATTGGTCAATCCAGTTGCAGCTTCTGCTTCGACGAGGATTACGGTCCAGTTTGTACCACGGCCGGCGTTACCCTCCCATCGGCTTGCCTGGCGGCCTGTCAAGGCCTTCGGGTAGCCCGAAAAGGACTTTGCCAAGGTACGCAATTCCATCGGCAATTTAACATATAACCCCCCCCATGCAATGTTGGCGGGTACCAAGTGTACCTCGGCCCATGTACGATACATGCACGGGCATACCCACACATACACACGCGCGCCACATAACGTGCAGGCCGCCATCACGAACGCACAGATACTGTAGCATGTCCACATGTGCAAGCACGCACACACATCGCGTGTGTGTAAACCGTCGTGTGCCATCCTCAGCATTTCTTATTCTCGATTTCAGTCAATTACAACTCACGTGCACACACAGCTTGCGGCGTCTGCGCTATTTCATATCATCAGCCACAAAGCGGAAAAGCAATTCAAAGCCTCCACGGTACTTGCTTTCACTTTTACCCTAGCACGCCATTTGGGCGCCGCGTTTCCATGTCGAACCGCCAACGGCGTACTGCTCATCTAACAACATTCACTTATAAAACCCAGATTTCGGAGTCATGTCCAGCGCTCTCCCCACCAAAGGCAGTGCAGACGAGCTGGGACTCACGCAGGCGGGGGCAGCAGGGGGCCTGGAGGCAAAATTGCAGCTGTAGGTGTGGCACGGCGCGCAGCCAACAAACCCGGGATTCCATGGGGTGATGAAGGGGGCATCGTGGAATCAAGCGTTACGCCACTGTCCTTGCAGACGGCCGGAGGGCCATGCAATTCGGACCACCTGCGGGCCCTCAGCCCTGCCGCCATATCATAGTCGAAATACAGCTAGGATAGGCTGGCTGCATTGTCTGGTCACGGAGCTGCGGCCTGAGGGGCCTTACTGACGTTGCCAGTTGCAGCAGTGGTGATAGTAAGAGTGGCCGCAAGTGAACTTCCTTTGGCTGAGATCCTACTTCGGCCGTGAATTCGGGCTTTTGCTTTGAGAGCAATACAAGGGAATGGCATACCACTGGGAAGATGGCTGCTGTGAAGAGTAATGGCCATGAAGGAAGTATATGGGCATAGCAGTATGGGCGTACAGTGCCGCCGTATGGGCACAGCAGGGCAGCCGGACATGAGCTGGTGCTGCTTCCACTGCAACGATGTATTGCTGTTGCTGCTGCTGCTGCTGCTACTGCTGCTGCCACAGCGCATTTTGGTTTTCCTAACTGACAAACTAGAGAGGTTCACAGGAACGGAGCACGGAAAGCAGCCGTCATGACAGCGCCTGTGCGTCCAGCACAGTAACTTCCCATACACTAGCCAAAACATACCTTAGCAATAAGTAAAAGCTCAGCTCATGCGCTAGGACAGGCCGTCATCGCTTCACTCTTTTTCATTTTTCGTGTTTGATTACAAGATGCAGGTGAAACCCCCTGGAAGACGAACAACAGCCCACAAGCGAAAGCCCTGCGCTCCCCGCCTCCGTGTGCTCGTCCTCTCCCACATGTCCTTTTTCTCTCCCTCCACAAAAGCGCTCTGCTGCACCGGTATCACAACGGTGTTACCCTGCACGGCTTACATAGCCAAGCAAGGTCAGGTCGGGCCGTGCTTTGAGCGTCGCCTCAGAGCAGCTCTCACAAAACTCTTCACCGACCAGTGATGCTGTACACAGTCATAAATTGTATACATGTTTGCCGCGGTGTCTATTTACTGTACTTGCCATTATCCCACCACACGTGTGGCGCCATGTACAGGATCGGATCCCCTTCCCAAGTCACTGGCGGTAAATTACGGACCGCCGCCAGCATTCTGGGGCCCTTCTGGCGACGACGGCAGCGGCAGCGGCAGCGGCAGCGGCGGTGGCGGTGGTGGTGATGCCACGCCTCCGTTGGCGGAAAGCGGACGGAGCGCTCGTTCCGCCGTCGACGATGACGTCATCATGCGCTTCGTGGACGACTCCTTTGTGTACGTGGGACACGCCGTGATGCGGGATACAGCCCCAAGCGGCGTTGAGTCATCCGGCTTCGTGGGGAGCCTAGCGTGAGTGTAGTTTCACACATGGTTTCGCGCGCAGCGCTGGTCAACAGGCTGTCAAGCTATCCAGGGGGGGCGACCTAAGGCTTGACTCGATAATGACGTTATGTGTCGGTGATGAAATGGTCATGCCTTGGTTCTAGCTTTGCTAAGGGCAACCTACCACAGCCGCTAGCCTAGCGAACTCAGGGCCGACCGTTCTATTTAACGGTTTAATCGGTGACAAGAGGCTAGCCGCTCTTGGTTATGGCATTTTTCTTCTTACTTGTTTGACACCCTTTATGGTTTCGTGCTTCACCTCTGGATGGTTTCGCAGAGGCATGCGAAAATCGACCAGTTCGACGGGAAGTGAAGGCGACAGCAGTAGCGGCAGCGGCAGTAGCAGCGACGGTAGCAGCACAGGCAGCGACGACGCGCTGCCGGACACTTTGACAATTCGGGCGATTCGGGTTGCGACAGATGGCGCGGTGTACTTAGAAACGCGGCCTTTGAATTTAAACCTAGCCATGCTGCCGCCGTCGGGCGAGACGGAGAGTTGGGTCGGAAGCGATGCGGAGGTCGCGGCGGCGGCGGCGGCGACGGCGGCACGAAGGCGGGCTTTTTCTGACGCAAGCTTCGGAGCAGGGAGCCTGGAAGGCGGCTCACCTCTGGATGTGAGTGACGACCCGATGGACATGGATGGTGTCGACGACGGCGACGTGGGAAGCGTCATTGGTACCGAGGAGGTGTATTCGGAACAGGGCTGGCAGCGGCAGCGGAGACGACGGCGGCGGCGGCGCCTCATAGACGATCGATATGAGGCGGAGGTGTTGGCGTGGCCGTACCGCACTATTGGGCAGCTGATGTTCCGTGCTTCTTTGAGCACGCACATCTGCACAGGTGTCCTGGGTGTCTCGGAGGGGTCAAAAGAGGGAATCAAGTGAAGTCATGATGTATGTGCGCACAGACATGCACGTGGTTGAGGTGGCTTGCAAGTCTGGGCGCGTTGGGTTCCTAGGGGCGGGTAACCCCCATCGGTTGGGCAAAGCGCTGATACCGGCATACAAGAAATATCGGCCTGTAGGAACGACCCACGGGTCGGTAGCGCACGCACCAAAGCATGCAGCAGGTTAGTGCGACGAAGGTACAGCAAAAGCAGTACGAAATGCAATTGGATTGGGCCCCCTCCTGGCATCCCAGACGAGGATTGTTGCACCCTAATTACCGTGAGTGAAATGGGCACCAGAGAGCATGATATGTGTCGTACATTCGTACATTAGCATGCCTTCCGGTTGCCACAGCGGGACCTCTATGGCAGCAGCAACAGCAGCCACCAGTTGCCAACCGTACGTGGGGCCCGTAATCCGAAACTTGGTACGACCCTTGTACGGCAGGCACGTGGGTCTCGGCGTACGACGTCCTTACCGCGGGTCATTGTGTTTTCAACGTCAGCGGCGGCACCGGTTACAGGGACTTCACTTTTTCGCCTGGGAAGGTACGGCACCGTGATGAGTACTGTGCCTAAGACGCCGTTTGTTACTGTTTGGGGATGCTGAAAGGATGATGGTCCTTCCGGAGGACGGTCGAACTGCAGATGGCCGACACTGCAGAACCCACTACAATCGGCTTTCTCCCCGTTCGCTGCCCTTGAAGTTGTGGGCCTCTGCGGTTGCGTGGGCCCCCGCGCCTTATCATGGCAACCGGAGGGGATTCGTGATTAGAGACCGGTCGTTGGAGCCCTGGTGCCCCGTTCCTGGTCACACTTGCCTGGCCGCCTCCCCCCTGCCGTTCCGTGCGGGGCCCTTCCGACGCCTCAGGTTGGATACAGCTCTCCATTGGGCGTCATCAGAGCGCAGTACGTCACGTTTTACAGAGCTGAATATCCTCGGTAAGGCCTTTCGTTGTCCGCAAGAAAGAAAGAAAATGCTCATGCATGTAAGTGCACGTATTAGCATGGCGCAGCAGTAAGGCTTTTTAAGGATAGTACTGTGTTATGTTAGTATATGGGGTTGATTGGGGGTGGGGTCCGCGTGCTTGACCTTCCCGTTGCCATGCACGGTACGGCACACAGGATCGACAAGGACGGCGTCAACTACTTCGACATGGCGCTCATAAGGATGCAGGCACCCAGCCTGAGCTATATGGGGCTGAAGTACTCGTGTACTAAGGTACGGCACTGGGATGTACGGCAATTGTGGCAGTGGGGTCCCTAACGGCGTTGCGTTCTGAAGAGGGAAAGGCCAAGGATGGCAGTGCATGGGCTTTCCAGCGTGGCAAGTACGGCACTGTAGCACGTGGGGTAACGCATTGGTAAGGGCAGCAGTCACGGGGCAGAGGCACCTCAGGCCTCATGCCGTGTGCAGTGTGCGCGGCTGCTGACCTCCATACACATCCACTTGTTGGCTGCTCGCATCTCATTCCTTCTTCCCGCCCAACATGTGTCATACCGCCGCGGGCAGACGGACTATCCTAAGGTACAAACTTGCGGCTACCCGTACGACCGGACTGGCTTCTACTTACAAAAATGTAGGTCATGTTGCGCTGAGGTCATGTCGCGCCAACTCGCGCTCGCCCACCTTGCCTTGTGGTTGGCTGACGTCCACGTGTGGTGTTACAGCATGCTGTCGGCCACGGCGGGTCCCTGCCGTGCATTGTAAAGCTCGGGAGGAGTGTTTGCAAAAGGGGACTTAGGGTTTTAAGACACTGCAGCCGTCGTATCGTGTCCAGCAGGAAAGAGCAGTGGGAATGCCCCGAAGCCATCATTTATGTGGGTCTGCACCATTAATGCGAATGCCTTGATGGAGGTGTAAAAAAGGCTGAGGCAAGACAGCAAGCAGAAGTTGAGATCCAAAAAAGCGGAAAAAGGATTCACGCATAGTCCATGGGGCCCCCCGGGCTTTAACGGACACCTCCGCATCGTCCAGAACTTGTAACCAACTTAACTAACTTTACTCGTGTGGTGCAAATGCGCACGAGAGTCCGTTTTGTGTCTCTGTGTGTACATGCGTGCCGACGTTTGTTTAAATCTCTGATCCCTAGAGCGGACTGGAAGACGGCGCTAGAGAAGCTGACACCCTCCGAAACCATCCCTTTGAGTTCCTTACCGTGTGTTTCCTACCCGCAGGCGACGACTGCTACTACACCTCAAATGCCTGCAACCCCATGGTGCAGCCCATTAACTGGTGCTTCACTGTGGGAGGTCAGTCAGGGTCCGCCATCTACGACCTGTCAGATTACCAAATCCTGGGAATCCTAAGCGGTGGTCCCAATTCGGGAATGTACTTCATGGAATACTCGGTCTGGACTCCAATCGACGCCATCCACTTTGCCAGCCTAAAGCGCTGGTTGTGGAAGTCGGGTACGCCCGCCGCCGCAGCGCCGCTTACGCCACCGTTGGCGCCTGCCGTACAGGCACCGTACACTGCAGAGCCATGTGAGTTTCGTTACTTGGGTGTTGCTGATTGGTTGGTATTTAAGGGCGCCTTGGGGTGTGGGCAGTTGGCTGGCTGGCTGGCTGGCTGGCAGGCTGACAAGTTGCAATCCCCCGCTTGCCTGATTGATGCGAGTGCCCGTGTCCAGGCATTGTACGAACCCCCAGGTGCCCGCAGCGGCCCTGTAAATGAGTTCTCTTCTTGAGAGGAGGGGGTAAATGAGTTCTCTTCTTGAGCTCTTCTTTCTTGTCCCGAAGCTGCTTGCATGTCATGCCTTACCGCCGATCAATTCGCTCCATCTTGGCCGTCATACCCAACTGGACCGACCTGGTTTGGCTGACGCATGGGCCGCGCAGGTGGCGCACAGGGTCTTCTGCGGCTGGTGGCGTCATCAGATGTCGGCTCCGGGCGAGTTGGTAAGGGTCGGCAGGAAGTCTGTCTGTCTGTCTGCCTGCCTGTCTGTCTGTCTGTCCAGTCTGTCTGTCTGTCTGTCTGTCTGTCCTGTCTGTCTGTCTGTCTGTCTGTCTGTCTGTCTGTCTGTCTGTCCAGTCTGTCTGTCTGTCTGTCTGTCCTGTCTGTCTGTCTGTCTGTCTGTCCTGTCTGTCTGTCTGTCTGTCTGTCTATGCCAAACAACGGAACCTTCTGGACAGCAGACCTCGGAAGGTGCAGACCAAAGGGCCCACCCATGCGGTCAAATCCCAACAGAGCTCAAGCGGGTGGGGAAAGGTTACTCCAAGCCGGAGCCATTGCGTCTGCATGTCGGTCTGTATGTCCGCCTGCCTGTCCATGTAAATGCCTGTCTGCCTGTATGTGTATTGGTTGTTTGCGGCGCTTACAGAGATTTGCTACAACGGCGTCTGGGGAACCGTCTGTAGCTCCAGTTCCTTTAACAACGCCAACGCCCGAGTTGTATGCAGGTGGGTTCGATCCTGGATCCGGATTTTCGACTTGCTCCAGACCAAATCGCTTCAGACTCGATGTTGTAGATTCGGGCAACCCAGGTTTCGATCTGATAACGTTGGCCTATATCCAAGGGATTTGAGATTAGGTAGAGGGTCTAAATCTACCAGAAACACACCAGCGATCAGAAAGTGCAACTCAAGGTACGGATACCACGACGTACATTCATGACGCCGCTCACCTTGCGGGGTCCCCGCTCCCACCGGCCCACCGTTTGGCTAACTTCCGCCCCCGCCTCACTCCTGATATCCACTCGCCCGTCCCCTCTCGTAAAATCACATGCACGCTGACCACCTGCCACTTGCTGCATGGTCACACAGACCACAACTGTCTGAAGCAAACTCACACAGTCCGCTGTTAATGAATGGTCTCGTACACCCGTACACTGCTGCCGTATGCCGTACGAAGGAGCTTAGGATTCCTAACCGGCAGTTGGGTAGTTCCCACGTTCTTCAACCCCGCGGACTTGAGGCAGAGCACCTGGGTGGAGCTGGGCTGTACGGGCAATGAGAACGGGTGAGTTCCTGGGGGCCGCCAACGAAAGCGGGTGGGTGAGCTCGCGAAGTGGCTTGGTTTCTGGCTCGCCGGCCCGCTACCACAACTCCGGGCTGGCGGGTTAGTGGGTAATGTGGATGGGCCTCCTCATGACGGAAATGTGGGAGGGGAGTTCTGGAGGGGAGTTCTGGAGGGGAGTTCTGGAGGGGAGTTCTGGAGGGGAGTTCTGGAGGGGAGTTCTGGAGGGGAGTTCTGGAGGGGAGTTCTGGAGGGGAGTTCTGGAGGGGAATCTGCTAAAAACTGGAAGGTGATATTCTTGGAGTGGGGGTCTTAGGTGGGCGCGACGCCCACCCAGTTCATGACCATGCCCCAAGTGCCTTGAAACGGGCTTTAGCCGCGTTAGGCGGGATCTTACCCATCTGGGTTCCCTTGGTTTTATAGCTATGATGTGAGGGTGCACTGTCTCCCTTCGCTACATGGCGTTGGCTAACTACATAATGCTATCCACGTTACGCAAGAAGCTATGCCGCTTGCACTTCTTGCGCTGTGTTATTGATGGATACAGCAAGCTAAGATTATTTTGTCAGCGATGGATACAAAGGATTATTATTGTGGTCTGCCCCGGGAGCTCAGCCGGGAGCTCAGCCCATATCCCTTCCCATGTATGTATGCCCTGTTGATGGTGAGCGCCCATCCGTTGGCGGCCCCACCGACGGTTTCACGTGCACGTTTCCCTATGTGCATGTGCCTCGGCTGTGCCGCTTTGCCGCTTTGCCGCTTTGCCGCTTTGCCGCGCCTTGCTGCGTCTTCGTGCCAATCAATGTGTATTTCGCTGGACTCGAACCCAGGATCTTCGAATGCCCTCCCCTGAGCAACGGAAACTGGAGCGTGGGGACCTCCTGCGCAACACACGAAACAGCAGACCTGAGTGTCATGTGCCGAAACACAAACGAGGTGTCTGGCTCCGGAACCACCCCGGACTTCAACCGTACAACGGGCTTTTTCCCATGTATGTACGACATGATGATGATGTCGCTCCTGAAGTGTTCGGGCTGTTAGAAGTGGGAACGTCGGTGATGTCCACTCCGTACATTTTTGCCGCACATGATCCATCGTACATGGTCGCCGTACGTGCCCCAAGTGCATGTACCTACCACCATACAATGCCATCGTGAATGTCCACGTTAAACGTCCTCATCGGACATTAGCTTACACGGAGGACGCTTTGGCGTTTGGGACTTTCCATTGCGTTGCAGGTACGAACAACGGTGCCGTACGGCTACGTGACAACCTGGTAAACAGCTCAGGTCGTGTGGAGTACTGCAACGACGGGCGCTGGGGCACGTGAGCAGCCGTATTTGGGGGGAAGGGGTCCAGGGAACGATGCATGGGGAGGAGGATGCATATGAAGCCCCAGAAGAACGGGGCATGGGGAGGAGGATCCATGCATATGAAGCCCCAGAAGAACGGGGCATGGGGAGGAGGATCCATGCATATGAAGCCCCAGAAGAACGGGGCATGGGGAGGAGGATCCATGCATATGAAGCCCCAGAAGAACGGGGCATGGGGAGGAGGATCCATGCATATGAAGCCCCAGAAGAACGGGGCATGGGGAGGAGGATCCATGCATATGAAGCCCCAGAAGAACGGGGCATGGGGAGGAGGATCCATGCATATGAAGCCCCAGAAGAACGGGGCATGGGGAGGAGGATCCATGCATATGAAGCCCCAGAAGAACGGGGCATGGGGAGGAGGATCCATGCATATGAAGCCCCAGAAGAACGGGGCATGGGGAGGAGGATCCATCTATATGAAGCGAAACTTACCAAGTTCCAGGCTGATCCATATACATGCTTGCAAAAAACAAAACCCGCTGCCGTGCCTCACGCGCACATGCTCTTTTCCAGCTCCTGGGAGGCGGACGGACTCCTCCAAACTGAACTGTCCAGCTCAGGGCGGCGCTGCTAGCTTCCCTTGAAGGGGACATCTTCCGCCCCGCCGTGCCGTTCCCCTTCATATACCTCTTCCCTGGTCCTGCCGTGATCTACCAATCGCCGCAGAGCACCAAACGCCCACTCAGCGATGCGGCATGATTGACATATGTTTTGATAATCGCATAAGACCCTCCTGACATACCAACCCCCATCGCAGCATCTGCCACGATGGCTGGGACGACCGTGACGCCACGGTGGTGTGCCGTCAGTTGGGCTATCGGTACGGCATCGCGCAAAAAGGCCTCCTAGCAAACGGTGCCAGCCCGCCAGGATCTGCGCTCATGAGAATCTGGATGCAACAGGTACGCGAACACGGTGATGCTAGTACTAGTAGTAGTACTAGTAGTACTAGTACTAGTACTACTAGTACTACTAGTACTACTAGTACTAGTACTAGTAGTGCACTGGTATTTCTCAAAGCTAACTACAGGCGCTGCCTGTAGGTCAATTGCAGCGGATCCGAAGCCCAGCTGCAGGACTGCGGCACCTTGGTGCCCTTAGGCGCCACTGACTGCAGCCATCGTGCGGATGCGGGTGTCATGTGCGCGAACACGCCGTTCGCCGCACCAGGAGTGCCGTACTACCCCTCCGATTGTGAGACACGTCGGGGTGCATGGGGGTGGGGGAGTACTACTACCCGGGGTGTACGGCGATGTGGGGTGACGGGGACGGGCTGGATGAGGCAGAGGGTCACCACCGTTCCTGGGTTTATGTGTACGTGCAAATGTATGTATGTATGTGTGTGTGTTTTACACCTGAAGTTGCGTTGCCTGACCGGTACGTAAGTACGGATCCACAACGAGCCGGGGCCAAGGGCCAGAAAGGATTGACCCTTTGTAGATCAGTCCGTCTCTCTGCCTGTCTGTCTGTCTGTTTGTCTATTTGTCTGTCTGTCTGTTCCTATTTGTTTGTCTGCCTGTCTGTCTATTTGTCTGTTTGTCTGTTTGTCTGCTCCCCTGTCGGTCTGCTTCTCTGTCTGTCTGCTTGTCCGTTTGTCCGTTTGTCCGTTTGTCCGTTTGTCTGTTTGCCTGTTTGTCCGTTTGTCTGTTTGTCCGTTTGTCTGTTTGTCTGCTTGTCTGTTTGTCTGTTTGTCTGCTTGCCTGTCTGTCTGCTTGTCTATCTGTCTGCCTGCCTGCCTACCTGTCTGTCTGTTTGTCTGTCTGTCTGCTTGTCCGTTTGTCCGTTTGTCTGTTTGTCTGTCTCCTGTGGATCCTTTGCATGGCATGATAATATATACGACGCCCTAGCCATACCACCACACCTGCCGACACGCCGCCACCGAAGCCCCCCAACCATCACCCGCCCATTCCTCACTTCCTGCCACCACCAGGCTCTGAACCGGGGGCCCTGCGGGTGGTGGATGATGGCGACGACGGTGTCATCTCGGGGTATCCTGGCATGGTTGGCGGTCGATTGGAAGTGTGCTATGCGGGGCAATGGGGCGCCGTGTGCGAACCCAACTTCAACGACCCTGATGCGCGCGTGGCTTGCCGGCAAATGGGTTTTGGCTTTGGGCGTGCAGTGCCCGCGACCCGACAACCAGGTAGGTGGCTGCCTGGGTTAGACAGGCGGGCTGACTTCTCTTTGACACCTCTTAATGAGCTGAGGAGCTTAAAGGGGGGGATTGCGCAGGAGGAAGGCTGTGGGGAATGCGGGATGCGTGAGAGCTATGGCAATGTGGTGAACATGTGTGTGGGGGGAGGGGAGAGGGGAGAGGGGAGAGGGGAGAGGGGAGAGGGGAGATCCATGCAGCAAGATGCTGTGATTCCTTCTGGCTTCTTGGTGCTCTCGCCTAGCCCAGCCGAGGCGAGGCGAGTCCTTTACCTACTTAAACTCGGCTGACTCATCCGTTCAGTTTGACCAATTTTCAACGTGTTGAGAGATGGATAATTGATTTTTTTGATTTGATAATAAACAGGACAGCCGATTTGGATGAGTGAGATCTTCTGCGAGACTACTCTGAGCTATTCGTACAGCGCATGGCCTGCGCGGCTGACCTCTTGCCGGTTTTGGGGCATGGAGGACGTCAACTGCTCGTACGGCATGGTGGCTGGCGTACAGTGCTCAAGTATAAAATCGTTCCCGATGCCGAATCTGGAATGTGAGTACGACATTTTGTTCGTGATGTGCGTCGCTTATGGCTTGTGCTTGGCATCTGCTTTGCTTGTTTATGGGGTTCCTCATGGGGCTCACGTTGTCTTGGCCGCACTTGTGCCGAGGGCACGCATTCTCGTCATGCATGCTTAGGCAGGTTTTCGAGTCTCTCTCTCCCCACCATAAATGCCGGTTCGGACACATCGGAAGCGCAATCGATACCTCTCCATGAAAGGATTTATTATTTCGGGATTATTACTTCCCATTACGGGTCCCGATGCTTTTTGCTTCCATTGTCAGAAGTTTGTGAAACCATCCTCGCTCTGTGTGTGCGTGTGTTTGTGATGAGATACGCATCAATGCCAATCTGACAGACTGATCGTACATGTGTATGTATGTACGTGCTCGTATGCTCATTTGCATGAGTGCACGACATTGCACGACATTCCAAACGAAAGGGAGAGTTTAGGTGTTAACCGACACCTGCAGCCGGTACTCGCCCGCATGTGTGGACAAGCCAGCCACAACGGCGCTTCTAGAAGTGTGGCTTTTTCCTGCTTCTTTCCACACCGGCAACCGCCGAGAAAGGTATATATATCTTTCGGCCTCGCTTTGTCCTCCACAACGACGCACAGGCTCCACGCCGGGTGATCTTCGACTACGTGGAGGCGTGGCTGACAACCTGGGCCGACTTGAGGTGTGCAGTTCGGGAGCTTGGGGCTCCGTCTGCGAGGACGGCTTCGGACAACCGGAGGCAGATGTAGCTTGCAGGTAGGGGGTGAAGGTCGAGGTCGCATTGGGGGGTGCGGCTTGATGGTGAATGTCGATCAGTGGGCGGGTGTTTGCGCTTCGGCACAACTGTTAAATTTAGAAAAATACAGAGAAGATTAGCATGGCCCCTGCGCAAGGATGACACTGCTCGCGCGGTTGTGAGTGCCTGATGCAAGCTGGCCTTCCTCGGCTGGTTTGTGTCGTGGCGGGGTGAGGAGCCGCCCATATTGAGCTCCTAGTCGGGGACTACACATGCTTTAGTTGACTTGCTT